TGGAGAGAGGCTTTTTTTTTTTTTAAAGAGCAGCTCTGGAAAACACAGGCTGCCTCCCACCGTCTCCCAGCACATGGTCCCACAGCGGCCAAATCCTGCAGCCGTTGGCACCAGCAGTGCTGGGCTTAGACACAGCAGACACACAAGGACAGGTCATTCATCTGTAAGTGCCTTAGAAGGGGACCTCGCTGATCATCCATCCTGTGGAAACACCACAAGAAAGGGGCTTTCACACCAGCACCCATCCCTGCCTCGCCAGGGCTGGGCTGGGGCAGCTCCTCCTCTGCATGCAAGGAGAACAAGGCTGATTTATTTGTCCCTTTGTATGTATTTAATCTAAGAGATACAAACTAAGCAACTAATGGTATTTTTCCAGAATTCAATCAACTCAATTGCCGCCTAACTCAATCAGAGGTACTTTCAAGCCCCTGTTTTATCTTGGCCCCACTGCTGGGTGTAAAACCATGCCTTGATCCGGAGGAGAGGTGTGCTGATGTCTTTCTCCCCTCATTAATTTTCCCTCCCACCTCTCTCTTCAGAAGAAACCGAGATGTTCGGACCTACAAAACCTGCAGAAGTGACCGGGTCCCAACTGCATGGGGGGAGGGGGGGCTGCAGGATCACACCCCGCTTCCAACCCCAGGCAGAGGGAAGCACCCAGCCCCAGCATGCCTGTGGGTCTCCATCACTGGGTGTGGGGGGAGGTATTTTTTCCTAAATACGTATGTTCAGTGCTTAAAATGGGCCAGGGAACACCAGCCAGCCTCTCCCCTCCTCTTTCCAGAGCAGGGCTGGTTTTTACCATTTATCGGGATGTTCTGCCTGCTCCACTGCAGCCACTGGTCCCACTGGGACATCCCCATCCCCATCCCTGCCACATGGAGCCGGTGAACAAGAGGAGCTATTTTCCATGCTGGAAGACCCCAGGCACCTCTGCACAAGCCTCTTGCACGAGGGTCTCTGCAGGGGGCTTGGCCAGTGGGGAGCCAGAAAGAAGCCTAAAATTGGAGACACTTGGCAAACAGGGAGCCCTGACCCCGACGCCGGGGATGTGGGGCAACCAAAAGAGAACTCGACCCCGAGAGATGCCCAGAGCCACTCCTGCAGTGAGTTTGGCCCCAAAAGGGCTCTGTGGAGGTCACGGGGCCGAGGAGAGGGGTGGCGGGTCC